GTCATCTCTGCCAGACAGCCAACTCTTGTATCTGCTCGCTTCCGCTGGCATTGTTCCTTGCTCTTGTCCTTGAAACCTGCCTTTGAGCCTACAAATTTCTTTGTTCGAATAACATTCGTTGAGGATTTATCATGCCAAAATTTCCTAACACTGAAACCTACATGTCTTGCATATGCATTATAAAACTCATATGTTATATCTTCATTCTCAAATTCCATTCCTATCTCTGGTTTTAACCTTTTGCTGTAATAATCATCTATGTTTCAACCTGCCTCTCCCACATTAGTGGTTTCATGATCTACACAACATAAAAATATCATATACTAATTAGTTCATGGACGACACAGTTTTGTTAGAACAAAACACAATATTCAGAGTCCTGTTGTAGTGAAACCTGAACAACACTTGAAGATGGGACAACATATTTTGCCAAATATCACACTGTATTCATAGGAGCATTAGAAAAACATTGTCCTTTTTCTTAGATACAATAATCTCTATCATTACAATTGGCAAAGAAGACACAAGAAACAGACCTATGGAAGATGAAGTACGTGGAGCTAAGTCTCAAGGATTAATTTGCATGTCATAGATTAAGCTCTTCCTTTGTTTCTGTTTAATCTTGTCTCCTCCATATGATGAGAGTGTTGATAATTTGCAGATTCAAGACACAACAACAAACCTATGGATGAAGTCGCAGGAGCTCCTTCCATGCCGAAGAACACCGTAGATGCTGGTCCACGTGAGAGGGCAATTCTCTATCGATCCTGATCTATTCTCGTGTGATCCACAATGGAGTAGATAGATAGGAGAAAAAATGTTGGAGATTTTGGCGGCAATCTGTTGATACGCGCGAGAAAGAAAGGCAGTTTTACTGATTTTATGTAATTAGAGAGATACGGGCTGGTTGTTTTAGTGATGGGGTCCACCAGGCCACGTGTTGGCCGCTGGTTGGCCCTGCACGATAGTGCGTGCAGGGATCCCAGCAGGAGAGCCCATCCGAAGGTGGATGGGGCAGAGGAGTTGCGTGATTCCAGGCTGGTGAGTCTTGTTCATGGCACAATCAAAATCTTTGACAAGGTCCTAGCCTCTAGACCCGCGAAGGACCATGGTCGTTCCTAGTTGAGGTGATGCAAAGTATGGGTTTCGGTCAATAATGGATTAATTGGATTTGTGGACTTCTTACAACATCTTCGACGAGGATCATGCTAAATGAGCTGCTGCAATGCCTATTTATTTGGGCATCCACTCTTGGCCAGCTATCTCCTCTATTTCCTTATAGTTAGACACAAAGGCTGCCCATATTTGCAGACGACGTGATGATTTTCCTGAAGCCCGGAACGATTGACTTGAGGACACGCTTGTTGATACTGGTTGTCTTCGATAGGGCCTCGATCCTACAAGCAAACATGCACAAGAGTGCAGCCCTACTGATAAGGTGCACAGAGGATCTAATGTTGGTAATCGGTGCAATCCTTGGTTGCTCACTAGGAAGGTTTCCAACAAAGTACCTAGGGCTTCCTCTAAGCATCCGACGACAGACAGTAGCACAGTTGCAAGGGCTATTGGACCAGACCGCGACCTGCCTTCCCAATTAGCTCACACCATTTGTGGGCTGCCAGGTTGCACCCATGACGGAATTTAAGCGGAAATCTCGGGTGTCGTTGAAGTGTCATTTTTTGTGTGTGGCTTGCTGCACAGAAAAGATGTTGGACATCTAATTGATTGACCAGAAGGGGACTGCCGCACCAGGATTCTTGCCCACTCTGCAATCAAGATGATGAAACAATGAACCACATTATTCTACATTGCGTTTTCTCGAGAACTATTTGGGCGCTAGTGTGCACGACAACAGGCAAGCCAGAGTGGACGCCAACTATGGAGGACGAGCTGTCGACGTGGACCTTGAGCAAGACAACGGAGGGATTACAACAAAAAGACATTCGCGCCATCCTAACACTAGGACTTTGGGAGTTGTGGAAGCATCGTAATGGTGTTGTTTTTGATGGAGAGTCTACATTTCTGGGGAAGGTTATGGATAGGATTGTGAGTGAAGGCCGGTTGTGGCAGATGGCGGGTCTGCTCAAGGATGAATTAGATCAATTTTTTTGGCGGATGCATGTGTGGGTAGCCAATGAGACGTGCAAGCCGGATAGCTAGTGTGGATGTGGTTGGGTGAAACCGTTGTAACACCATCGGTGGAGCGCTCTTGTACCCCTTTTCTTCTCCTTCAGTATATGATATGCATCCTATGTGTATTCAAGAAAAGAGATGTGTATGCGTTGAATTGCCAGGAAAATGTGAGTTATTTTAAACAGGAATTTTTAAAAAAATCACGAATTAAAAAAATATCATGGTTTCAAAAAAAGATCATGAATTCGTAAAAGTTCGGGGGTTAAAAAGAAGTTCGTGGGTGAAGAAAGTTCAGGAACTTGAAAAATTACAAGGGTTCAAAAAATGTTTGCGGGATTCAAAAGAATTTGAAAAAGTTCATGAACTAAAAAAAGATCATGGATTTGAAAATTTTCATCGATTTAAAAAAAAGTCATCTATTTTGAAAAAAGTTCATGCGGATTTTGAAAAAGAATCATATTTTTAGTGAAGATTGGTGGATTTGAATATATTCATGCATTTGAGAAAAGTTTACGGATTTGAAAAAAGTTCATGAATTTGAAAAAAAATCATGTATTTTAGAAAGGTACACAATTTTGGAAAAATGTCCATGTATTTAATAAACCTCGTGTATTGAAAACAATAAACAGAAAATAAAATAAAACAGAAAACTAAAAATATATTCAAAAAGTCATCTGTTTTCAAAAAAGTTCATGAATTGGGAAAAAGTTAGTGAATTTTGAAAGAAAACTTCATAAGTTTGGTGAAGGTTTGTGGATTTGAATATATTCATGCATTTGAGAAAAGTTTGCGGATTTGAAAAAAGTTCATGAATTTGAAAAAAATTACGTATTTTAAATAAAGGTACACGATTTTGAAAAAATGTTCACGTATTTTAAAAAAGCTCGCGTATTTAAAACAACAAAAAATAAATAAAACAGGAAAATAAAAATAAAAGAAAAAGGAAATAGAATTAAAAAAATAAAAATCATCCAGAAAACTAAAAACTGAAAAAAGAAAAAACCTACCGGATGTTTCTAGAATCTTCCCAAAACCAGCGACCTACTCTCGGATAGCTATTAATGGGCTGGCCTGCATAAAATCTAGCGAAAAGCGTTGTAACTGGCGTTACGAGCGCCGAATAGGAGTTGGCGCCGGCAGCGGACGAAAGCAAACGTCGTGGGCAATCTTTTTTTTTTTTGAGGAAAATCGCTATTGCTGATCCCTGATTGCTCTGTCTGTCTGCCTCTGCTCACTTTAGTTGTCGACAACTACCATTGGGCATGGGCACCAATTGCCCGTGTCTCCTAAGCCACGGTTGTCCTGTCTCCGCACATCATGTCCACCTTTCGGAACTCGGCATGGTGCGTTCACGATCCATCTATCCTCATATCTTTAGTCCTCTTTAAGGTTCTAATTTCTGAAATTCTAACTGTACATTCGGTCATAATTTTGGGTATGAGAATGCTGGTTGCACAAAAGAAAAAAAGAAAGCGAGTCGTTCAATTTTGAATCACAACAAAGTGCTTTAAATAAGTTTTTTTTCTGAAGCGAAGCATTATTGTCGATGGGGACAGTCATTGATTTTTTTTTCTTATTTGAGATAATCATACAGGTTGAATTTTGTTATTCTTTTAATCTTCTTGCCGTTATATGACATTGCTCTACTAATATTAGTATTAGACGTCTCAAAGTAAGATTGTGTGGTTGGAAGATAACTGTGTATATGTGTCTATTTATTACTCATACATATATATTGCCTTGCAAATCCATGTCGTCGACTTCGCCCTAGGCTCCTCTACAATAGAACACACTGCAGAGAATCAGACGCATAGCGCCGTATGCATAGCACTCCTTTGAAATTAATGTTTTTCTTTCTGGGATTTTTTGGAATTGTGTCGAATATAGTGTATAAGGTAGGTTGCAGTTGGAGTCTGAGTTGTATTATGCTTATATAAGGTAGGAGTTATGTCCTAATAGGACACTTGTATCCGTGGGTTCCTATATATTGTGAGGGTAGACGCTAGATGTAACCGATGGAACATAATAGCACAGGTACGCAAGCGGAACCGGCGGCGTGTGCCAGCGCCCGGGTGGCCGGTGTGTGATATTGTGACGGTGTCATGAGGAGCAGCGCCCGTAGTCATGCCCTAGGGATGTACCCATATTGTTGAACCTCGTTAACAAATTTCGTGTCGTGCCTTATGTGATTGGCTGGTTGCTTGATCCTTGGTGGATCAACGGTGACCTCGGATTATTCTAACATGAATCATAAGAAGTATTGTTTTTATTGCGAAGAACAAAAGGTGCTACGATATGCAATGTTGCTTCTTACAATGGGATGCCCCTGCAAAATAAAACACATATGGCCCCTGTGTATGATTGTGGGTTTGGACCCACCCATCATAGACAGCGTGTATGTCAAAACTGTGCAATTAAATTTTTTGTGGGGACAAATACAAGTATGCCACCGAGTTCAATATTCATCGCAACAATTTCAGAGGAAAAAAGAAGCAAACCTGTATCATTATTAGACATCTCAAAGTAAGAATGTGTGTTTGGAAGATAACTATTAACACTTCACATGTGAAAGTAGACACATGTATGTATATGTATCTATGTACTCATACATATATATAGCCTCACAAATCCATGTCGCCAAATTCGCCCTAGGCTCCTCCAAAACATAGAACATAGTGCAAAGAATCGATAAACAATGTCAAAACATATATATGACATGTGGACTCACACCCCACGCATCATATACATGGCGTATGTCAAAACCATGCATTAACCACATAGTTAAAGAAAGGCAAATCCTTATAATTTTGCATGTAACCACATAGTTATTTTCCTCAACTATGAAAATCAATGGCGCCTTCTTACTGCTACATCTGTGCAATGTCCTTGTTATACTGATCTATCCATCCATGTATGATCTCAATTTCCTGTCTCCTTTGTTCTACAACCCAGTCTGGGTCATCCTTGGTTGCAGATCTGAAGTCCAAATGATGGGCCCCTGAAAATCACCATTACAAAACGTAGCCCGCATAAGTAAGTTCAGAATACTTTTGACCTTGCATATTTTCTTTAACTTCATGTTTACCTTTCTCTGTGACAAGAGCAATGATGCTGGATGATATGTTCTTGAGCACCCTGATAGCAGTTTGAAAGGAAGACTATTAGTATTGTTTACAATGGTAACAAAATTACCTGAATGGTTGCAACTATCGACTGAAGAATTCAGATAGTGAAATCTTTTACTCTTACCCGCCTCGACTCCATGGGTCTCGCATCCCATTGGAGAAGATAATGTTGCTCCCAAACCTCTTGAGAACTTTGTCAATTTTCTGCAGTGGATTGTGCAATGCAGTAGCAGGTGAGCACATGCCACCCAAGTGACCCAACAATTATTACTACTGACGGTTCATATGTAAACACTAAAAAAATCTGAAAGAAAACTTACATGGCCACCATATTCAGTAGTGATCCAGTGCATCCTCGGACGAACTCCATAATTGGCAAGGCAGCCCTTGGACCTCTCCTCGTAGCTAAAGCCGAATGGTGGAAACATGCTCTCATTTGACACAGCCATTGGCATGACCATCTCTGTGCAGGCCTGTATAAAGGTTGTTTCAGGAAACAAACACATATATCATATATGAATTTCAGTCTTGCAGTGTTATCAGTAAACCACATGTATGTCACTGTCTGTCAGGATTTTACCTGCCAGCCCCAGCCGCTGAGGCCATGGGGGTCATCCCCACCTTCCACCTGGAAGCACTTCTGGTCGCCTGTGTAATTGTAGTACAAGCTCGCCGCTGCGAAAGCTTTTTCGACGACGTCTGCTCCCGCGGGGAAAGAATCAATGATCTTGCACATCTGTAGAAATGTCAGGAGAATTACATGCTCAGCAGAAGAGAATAAAAAGCAGGTCCTGTTTTTGCATGACTCAGTTTGGTAACTCTGGAACTCTTGTTTCTCTGCTCATTCACTTGATATAATTCAGGCAAAAGTAAGGGTTGTTAATTAGGTTACAAGTGGCTAACCTCTTTGACAGGGTAAGCAGGCAGATTTTGCAGGAAATTGGCTGGAGTTGGATAGTCCGTCATGGCCGTGTAGGTGAATGCCGTATATAGAAAGTTGGTCAGCGAATCAGCGGAGTGCACGGTCCTAAAAGTTGAGGGATAACACAACATCATGAACCCGAGTCATCGCCGTTCGTTCAAATATGGCGCTCTTCATTAGTTCACCACTCGGGGCAATCTTATCAAGATGAGGTTTTCATGTCCAGTAGCAAATCTATCCTTTGGACTTAATGTACATCTTATCAAGAATCTCTTATCCTGCAAGTCATCTTTTTCATGTATTTATTACCTACAAGGTTTGACTATTTGTTTGCTTTACTTACACTTCACACATAAAAAAGAATACGTGCAGTCTTCAATCTTTTGTTTTTCTCCCTATATTAATGAATTTTATACGGTTTTCAGTTAAAAAAATTATCAGTTAGACAAACGCTTACTTGCAGGTCCTGAAGGTTTTGCTGAGCTCCAAGAGCCCTGTCTCGTTTGATCCCCTGTCATCTAACACATCCCAGACCGCCTTGATGACACTGTAGCAATTCAGGCTCTCAGACTGCAAAATGTTACAGTCAGCTAAATAAACAACTATGTCTTTCGTTGGAAACTTCAGCTTGGGAGAAGGACAAATCAAGCACCAATCAGACAATGATGTCACTAGCAACATGTCATTATTCCCATTCCTTGTTCGATCTTGTCTGTACCGTATTATAAATAACAGCCGCGCCATCAGTCATCGATAATGAACAAAATACTCCAATTTGCATATATTTTTGGAAAATTAAGGACCTTATTCGTGCAGCCGCCTACTGATAGCCCTTTGGTGCAGTTATGCATCGCAATCAAGCTAATCAACTTAGCCATGACTCATAATCAAGACCTTAACTAGACATCCACATCACTGGCTGGCCGGTGCCATTTCAGTCACTCACATGAAAAAATAATTCTTGAAAGATTCTAATCAAACACATCCATTAAATTCCGTGCTAATGAAGAGAAACGCTGTAACCAATTCATGACCCACAAATGAAAACCATTAAGTTGCCGCTAGGGTACTGATATAAGTACAGGAAGAGAGACATGCTAACGGACAGGCATACAACAAGTGAAATTCAATACTACTCCCTCTATCCCAAAATAAGAAAATCGTATTAAATCAGCGACACTAAAGATTTTTTTTTTAGAAAAGAAGAATTGCCCTAAATCAGCAACATTTATTTTGCTAAAGTTATACTAAATCAGCGACACTTATTTTAGAACGGACGGAGTACTACAATCATTCAGAGCCAACACCGTCGATTAGTCTGCAGCAGACGGACGGACTGCCATGCGTTCCGTGTTAGGATAATATCTTGCAGTAGTATTGGGACATCCAAGCTAGTTGTGCACGTGAGAGAGGTTAGTTCACGAAGTTAAGTCCGGCTAGAAGTTTGCTTGGCTGTCCTAGTTCGACTAGGTTTAGCTATACGTCGGCTCGGGTCTTGCATATATATTTACATGACCACGGCTGCAACTTTGAAAGATCATTGGGAAGAAAAGGAGAAAATAAAAAGAGAAAAAAGAGGGCACGACAAGGGCCTTTTGGCTAAAGTTTTTGCGGGTGTTCGTCGTGTGCTCTTTGATGTGATCGGTCCCGAGGATGAGTTCCAACATTTTGAAGAGTGAAGGACAATAATTTGACCAGTGACAGTGGGCCGTCCACCCAGAAATTATTTGACCAACTTATCTTTTAGAGTGTTATAACGAAGTGGTAACTAATTCTAGTAAGTACCTTGAAGTCCTGCGTGACAGTGTCATCGAAGCCTGACCAGGAGCTGATGTCGTCGAACTGCAGGATGGGTGCAGAGGATGCCAGGGCCCCCATGGCGACATGGGGGTACTTGAGCCTGAACCATGATGCCAGCACTAGAAACAACAGCCAGAAGACAACAACATTATTTACTTCTTGTTTATCCACATGAGAACGTCAATTCTATATTAGCTCATCCTAATCGCGACAATATTATGAGCCGACAGACTCAGTCACTTACGAATCATATATATATACCTAAGAGAGTCATCCTGATTAACTTACTTCTCTTAACATATAATCATGTCACTTCACCATACAATTATAAATGGGATAGGACTCGCCTCAACATACAATCGTGCATGGAAAACTATCCATCACAACATTCAACCATGCATGAATGTTTTTAATTTAATTATTCTACTTATATTTAATAAATATTGTTACAAGTACACATAATCAAATATAATAGGAGGATAGTGTCACATACTGGGAAGAAAACAAAACGCATCTGGCGACTCATGGCCAGGACTCGATCTAGCGATTGTGTTCTCCTCGAAGGTGGCTTTGGGTTGATCTTTGTATACCTTTTATTAGCCATTGTTGAATAACTTAATAAAGATGGCTGCTTGCATCATTTTGATGCAGGGGCCGAGGGTAATCCTCTTTTTTTTTAAATCACATAATAAAATATATGTATTTTAATTTTTTGTTCTCATGTTATCAACATAGATCTTCATGAACCAATTCGTATAGCAACTCGCACGGTCTTCTCTAGTTGATTCAAGTGTTGTAGCCCATAGGATTTAGCAATTTTAGCCACAAAATACTCTTACACATTATATGCATTTTCGTATAGTAGTAACATATTTTTGTATAAACTAAACAAGTAGATCCAGCCGCACGTCACACGCACGAATATATTAGACAAAAGGCCAGTGCTCTTCATAAGTTTAGCATTTTCGTAGATAGAAAAGCGTTAATTAGTGAGGGACTTACTGCCTCCGTAGGAGCCACCAAAGACGACGACGGGGGCGTCGACGGCGGAGAGGTTCTGCTTGAGGCTGGTTATAAGGACGGCGAAGTCGGCGAGCGCCTGCGTGGACGTTAGGTAGCCCAGCGTGTCCGGCGACTGGGACGAGTCGTTCCCGAATGGCTGTGACTCCCCGTAGAACCGATGCTGCACCCGCACAAATTTCAAAAAGTAAGTAACAAGTAGCAGTAATTGAACTTAAGTACCAGACAACGGCAAAAATGGCGCCTGCCGCCTCGTGTGCAGTTAGCGCATTCGCCATTGAATTCAGTGTTTCTTAAGGTCCGGAGAGAATCAACACGACAATCAATACACCGTCACCGATGAAGATATGATGATTATAGCTTAGAATAAGAGCCATGACGGTACCTCGATGAAAACGAGGAGGGCGCCAAACTGGGGAGCGATGTCGAACATGAAGCCCGTATTGGTCGTGAACCACTCGATGTCGCCCTCGTTGCCGGTGTACACGAACAGCGGCCCGGCGGTGGGTTTCCGCCGCCAGAAGGTCTCGTTGAGGAGGTACTTGTGGGAGAAGACGCGGGAGGAGTTGGGCGTGAAGGTGAAGTGGTCCAGCTCCTGCGGGAAGTAGTGCGCCGTGAACGGCTTCGCCGTGCCGTTGTCCGCCGCGGCGTACCTGCCGCCGGAGCTTGCAGCCCGCTGCTGATGTAGAGAAGCGAGTCCAGCAGGGAAATATCGTTGATGGGTTGTGCGCCTGGAGGAGCTTGCTGCTGCCGCCAGTTCCGGCGAGAAGGCGGCGAGGAGGAGGAGCAGCAGCGCCGGGACAACAGCGGCGGTCATGGAGGGCGTCATTTTTGGCCGTCGAGTGTCCACCCTCTCCGCAGCCTCTGCTCGGGTGGGTTGGGGTTTAAGAACAGGGAAGAAGGTGCGGTTGCGGGAGAGACTGGGACGAAACGGTCGTGCGCCGCATTGTCTGGTTCGCCTTGTCGGGCACATACGGATGCAATGGACGGACCCAGATGATTGATTTTAGCCGGCCGGCGACGGGACGCGAGACGCGCCAAACCTGGCAGCTAGTCCGTCCATCGACGCACTACTCACTGGCTTGGCAGCCTCTAGTCCTGCAAGGCAGCTTGGAGACGACCGGCCACAACGCGACGCCAGCGTTCTCTCGCCGGCCTTACAAGATGGCCGATCCGAATCTGACCATCCGCGTCGCAGTCGCATCGTCCGCAACGAGACGCGACACGGCGTCGCCGCCGGCGCGAGTCTTTGGCCGAAAACGAAGAAAACGGTGCCGTGACAAGAGCAAAGCGGGTGGGGCGGTGGAGGTTGTTCCCTCCTGTCGGCTGCGTTGCGGTTGCCACCGAGCCCTGTGTCTTCTTGTCCTACCTCCAGGTCTCTTGTTGGTGGCCTTAGTGAGACAGTGAAGATGGTGCAGTATCCGTGGTGGCACAGACTGATGGGCAGCATGTTGGACGGTGCGCTTCCGTTTGTCTGGGGTGGCGGTGGTGGTTCTGGGGCAGGAGAAATCTTTGGCGGCCCGTTCGCCACCGGCGCGGCTACACCCTTGGGCGTTGCGGGACCCTCCCGAGGGGTGTCGGTGATACCCCTTCCCCACTGACATCCGCGTACTGGGGGAAACCCTAGGACTTGTCAGGGCAGCAGCGTTGTCGTCGTCGCATTTTTTCATGAAGATGTTGCTTGATA